TGATAGCTATCATAACGCCTGCCATTTGAAATAAATATAACTTGAGGAGTTCTTGGGTGGGGGGGGGGGTTGCCAAGGGCTTGCTTGACGCCTATTGATGCTAATGAGATATATGGAACGTACTTTTGCTGGGTTGCTGAGAAAAAACTTACCAATGGAATTTGACAACGCCTTCAAAATTATATATTTCTTCATCATGCGCAATCACAAGTTTGGGGCAGCCGATGCTGGGGTTGAAGACTTAATAATTATTGTTCAATACTTGTTCCATAATCTACTTATTTTCACTGTGATTGTGTCTATTGAATGTCTTAGGTAGGGCAAATCTTGGGTAACATTCGAATTAGACGGAATCCAACATTTTGAAAAGCCAAAGAACCATGTTATCCTTCCATTTGGCACGATTCACCGTAAATACATTCTTGTATCTATTATACCTGTATTAAAATAGTGTTCCTGCCCTTGAATCTCGAATGAACTTTAGAACATGTTTAGTGACGCCTTCAGTGACTATAGGATTGACAAAGTTCGGAGGATGAAGAGGGTTTAATAGAATCAGGTGAGGGAAAAGAGGAAATAGGGGAAATATAAGAATCTTCGTGTTTAGAATATTCAACCTTCACCAATACTCTTGGTTTTGAAATGGAGTATATGCCAGTTAATTTAGTAATTCCTGCTTACTAGTTGCTGTTACTAGAACCTTTCCAAATAGCCAAAACTCCTAAAATAAAAAATTTGATATATATTCAAGCAAAATCGTTCCTTAATTTCTGTTTTTTTGGGAATTAAGTAAACGAACTGTTTATAGTTGCTGATTAGAATGGTTTTCACACTGCCTCCTCATTTTTCTCAAGAGGTTTTAAATTCCTTTGTCGAGTTACCGCGCGAGCATAATAGCCAATACCATTTCTTCTCCTATCTAAGTAACAATTTCCATGTCTGACCCTCAACTTCACTTTCATTGGCTCAAGAACTTGTCCCTGTTTCTCAAGTACCTCTTCTTTGCACTTCATCATCAAAATGTCCCAAATAACGCCCAAAGGGCTCAGTTCTTTCAATGAACCCGAATTGGCTTTCTCCATTCGTCAGGGTTTAATGATTGGTTGTCCTTTGGTTGCGGCACTAATTATCATTACCATCCTGATTATTTGTTGCTGCTGCAATGTTCACCCCCAGAGAGAAAAAAAGTCGTCAGACAAACCGAGAGATGTGAAGAAAAACACAGAAGCAGATCCAAACCTAGCTCAAAACCAAACCAAAATGCCGGTCGAAGTAGGGGGTGGTAAAAAACAAGATTTGAAAGGCGAGGCGGCAAATGACCAGCGAGAAAAGAGGGTCCGGTTTCCATACTATAGCAACGGTGACTGCGCGAAAACTAGTTCTTCGAAAACCACCACCTCTTTACCAATCCACGCACCAGAAGTAACATTGCCATCTTACGCTAAAGTTCGAGGAGAAGGAGCATCAGATTTTTACTTGAATGCGACCAGTCAGTAAATAATTCGGTTGGAATTAGATCTTCACGGATGATATGCCACAATGCAAACTGTACCCTCTTTTATATGAACAAAACCTTTCACTCATATTACACGAAGACTTATCTGAAATATGTGGGTTTCTTTCTTACTTTGATGTTAATAAATAAGAAGTACCCTTTATTTATGCGCAGTCTGCCATTAACAATGATTTTAATGTTTATTTAAAATTGAATTTCGAGTTTCGTTTTTAGATTATACTCGTGAAGGGTAAATTTCGAAAAAATAACATTTTTGAATATGAATTGCTAGCTATTAACCTTTAAAACAGATAGCGACATATTGCATAATTTAATACAATTTATTAATCGCTTAGAATTTTAAGAAACCTTGAAACTACTTGAAAGAAACAAGCAAAACAATTTTATCATTCATTTTTTCTTCCACAAAACTATTCAAAGATTACCCATTATGATAAAAGAAATTTTCTTTGCATTTATTTAGAGATAATTATTTCCGACCTATATTTTGGAATCAATTTGAAGGACCGAAGTAGTTCTAACAGACAGACCATTAGATAAAGTCCAGCACTTTGAATAACTTAATTTCTGATATATCATATTCTTGCCAAAGTTGCCACCCTCTTTCTGGAAAATTCATCCAATTCAAACCAAATGACTTGCGCAAATTCCTATTTACGGGGATCAATTCTTTCCTCTAAGAAGATGTTCACAGTTGCCAAGGTATTTCTGCTTTAATGATTGATGTTTGACTATTATGACAGAGGTCAATAACGAAGTGACATTTTCCACTGTATCAACCTATTTTCTATCAGAGTTATCTATAAATTTTGGAAAAATAGTAATGTTTGTCTACTTATTTTTTGCCCAAAACGCATACGTTACGGAAAATCTATTGGCAAGAAAAAAATATGAAAATTGATAATTGGCCCTTGTGTTTATTTTAATTGGTCTCATTAGTCCTATTCTCCACTATAAAACTTATACTATATTATTCTAGAAACGATATAATAATCTAATAAAGTAATAGAGAGATAGTCTTCATAACGGGATCAGAACTTCATATCAAATTATTGGTTTTGCTTAACTTATTCACTGTTTTCAAATGTTATAGAGTAGTGCTCAGCACTAGAGAAATAAGTTGTATATATCGGCGTAGAGTAATGTATTTATTCTTTAATTTTATTGTTTGTCATTAAACCTAGGAAAAGTGTAATATGATCAGTCTTATGGATGTTAGTTTACAATCGTAAGGTTGTATAATTACACGATTATGGCATTAGGATACTAACCCCAATAAGACCAGTAATTCCCCCTTATTGGATAGGAGAGAAAGTAAATCTTAAATATTCAAAATGAGCGCGTTATGGTTTACTAATTTCTGCATCTTATTGGCTGACGCCGATCCAAGTCGGCCATTTCATAAATACGCTTATAAACATGCTTTTTGACTTAAAGTATTCAGTAGTTTTGATTTTTATTTAAGCATTCGTGGGCTGGCATTCAAACTGCACCTGATTTTTAACCACGGGTTTTAAGATCGGCAGATGTCAATGCTAAGCTCTAATAGGATATCGAAACAAACAATCGACCATAATGATCATACGCAAGCTTACTTTGGAGCGCATTTCTTGAACAATCTGGTTGCAGAATCGTAAAAATCATCCCAATAGATTATCCCCTCAAATAAATACTTCCAATCCCTCTAAGCCTAGAGCTGAATTTTCTCAGCAGATTCTTATAACTTGTATTTGTTATGAAGGCAAACTAAATTGAATTGTAGTAACGGAAATTTAATTATTGGCGGCGATTTTGGACAGAAAACACGGATTAATTTGTCGTGCACGAATGAAGGATTTGAAATTTCGTGTCCGGCTGAATCATTCGCCATTTCCCAACGCACATCCAATGTTTTACAATCTACCTCTGTAGCCCCATTCTCTCCTGAAACAATAGAAACTGTACTGAAAATATGAAATTTACCACTACATTTCCAGAGTAACCATGACAACTTGGAAATATTACATCAGTCGAAAAGGAGTCCGATTGTGTTTAAAATTGTAATTATGAGGTTTATTAAACGATAATTTGTAGATTCTTAATATTTGATAGGGAATCGATTTTGCTACCAATATAAACAAATTCTTGATGCATCTACCAAAATAGGGAAAATGCAATTGTTAAAAATCATGAATTAAATGGTCGGTTCATAAAAGTTTTTAAATATTTACTAAACCATATTCATTTTAGAGTTTACAACTAGAATTAAATGAAATTTATGCGAATTTCAAATTTTCTACCTTTGCGATGAAGTAAATCGTGTTAATGGCAATTATTCATCCATTACGAATATCCATCTCGAAGTATTCATGGGGTATTTCAGTATGTCCTCTCAAAAGGGTCCACATTCATAAATTATCTTGATTTAGTTTAAGGTCATTTGCTGACGAAATGAGACAAGGAAAGAATAGATTATAGAGAATGATTCGCAAAAAAATATTTTAATACCTTTGGCCGATGTTCCACAAAAAAAACTGTGCGACTGTGAACTGTGATTAATCTACACATTTGAAGAAATGTGATAATCTCATCTTCTTTGGGAATTCGGGGGTGTGCGATAGACTTACCTCAACAAAGTGCACCCTGGGCAACGTATATTCATTCAGCAAAATAGTCTATTAACCGACAGTTGACTTCTGACTTTAAACTACCATGACCCCACTATATGTTATATTCGACCCCTACTACAGTACCCATCTTACCCTTTCTGAGCCTTTGTGTTTGTCTGCCTCTTCTACATCTGTGAATCACTTTTCTGTTCTATCTCTCGACTTTTTGTCACTTTGATGTTCCCTCTTCTCCTATCTGTGATGCCCGAAGCCATCCAAAGGACTAATGATAGCTATCCAAACGACTGCCATTTGAAATAAATAAGTCTTTGAGAATTCGTATTTCACCTGATAAAGCTGAAGTCATTGGTATTCTAAATTCGTCTTTCAATTATGACTAATCAGGGCATTTCAACCGTTTTTCTTCAGCCAAAGTTAATTATTCACTGGGCGATTTCGAGAGGTAGAACATCAACAAATAGGGTTCAAAAGGGTTGATGAGATTAGAAAAGAGGTCAATGGGAGTTTAAAGCCCTTACCAAAAATTCTCGAATAAAACACCTGGCAGACAATATCTCACATCGTAGTCAAACACCCATTGATATTCGGAGAAATAACTGTAAAATTTGAATTGTCCACTTAGTGAATAGTATGTAAGTTGAGTGCGAAAGTCAAATTTAACAAGACCCTTCAACATCTAATCTCTACACCTTTTTGAGCCCCCGTCCCAATCAAACACCCCCCCCCCACCCCCCCCCCC